ATTTATATCTGACCATTATAATCTGTATTTTTGAAATGGTCGTTTTTAACACCGTAGTTTTACAAATTATAGAATAATTAATTACCAGTGTTTTCCAATGTTACTCGGCAGTTCGTTTCGTTAGCTAAAGCTACCGCTACTAGTTAGCTACGCAATGGTTTGTTGCTTTGCTCCGGGTTGCAGCCACAGGTCTTCGCATGAAACGTGCTCGTTCTATCGTTTCCCGGCCAATGTTTTCCAAAGGAGAGTCTGGATTCGTGCCATGAGGTAAGCTGACGTTACATTTGTGTCCATGTCACGGTGAAATGTAAATGATGGGTAGTGACTAGAGGCTTCTCAATTCTTAAATTTCCCCTCGGACACACACACAAATATATTTATATAAATATATACAATTTAAAGTATGAGAGCTCAGCACTCTCATAATAACGCATAACACAATCAGAGACTGGATTATAGCTCCTCCAGAGAGCCTCCTCGATGCTCGGTCCTCGGTGTGCATTTAGAGAAATGAGATGTCCTTCAAAATGGCGCGCTGAAATTCATTTCCGGGTCACTACCGGAGGACCGAGGAGTCGAAATTTGAGTATTGAGAAGCCTCTACTGTATCGCCGTTTTAGAGATGGCGCTCCTGAAAAGACCGCAACATAAGTAAAGATAATGAATACATCCTATTAAAACCTGTGTGGCTTATATGATAAGTCTAATTAGTACAAGCAGCATAACGTTCCACCATGTAACTAAAGATTGTAGTCAGGGAAATCAGTTTGACATATTGAACTAATAAATCACCTCTGGCTGGCAGAGAACTCTCTGCTCCATAGCTTCTCTTGGACGTAAAATCACATGTACATTTTACATTTATATTCAATTTAATATTCCATCCCTCACATACTTTTGTTTATATAATAACTTATATTTATTTTTCTTGTTATGCTGCTGCAACACAAACATTTCCCAAATTGGGATCAATACAGTAATATCTTAATTAATTATTATAATTATATTATTATAATTAGTGTAGCAGCTGACACCTATTTTCAATATGGATTAATCTACCATTTATTTCTTTAGTTCAATTTTCATCTATAAAAATGTCAAAATAGTGAAAATGTTCACGAGACAAAGTGCAAGGTTATATCTTTAGATGTTTTGTTTTAGCCTATGTACTGTATGTCTTAATGCTCTTATATGTGACGGTGTGACTTCCATGAAACTAATATTTTATATCTTCCCAACAGACGAGCTGACAGGAAACCTAACACTCTAACAACATTGCAAAGGCGAGTAAATGTAAATTAAAAACGATTCACAATTTTTTTATTTCTTCTTCTTTCTTGCAGTGAGGTGAAGCTGACCTTGCACTTGGTGCCAGTAAGGATGTTCCTCACGCAGGCTGAATGTTTCTCCCTCCTTACTGACACAGAAGCCCTTGATTTACAATGCTTCACTAATTGTCATTTCCCTGGCTCTGTATAGGGACACTTTACCTCCAGCACAGCGGAAGACCCTACCAGACCATCTGGAGATGCCCCCAACACTCCTGATTGGGAGAGCCACAAACCTGACTCATGGACCTGCATCTGGGTTGCAGTGGTGAATGCCCTGACGCCCTCACATTCATTCATAGTCCCCCACTGTACAGACAAAACACCATCAAGGGCCTGTTGTTGCCCTAGCACCCTGGCAATAAGGGAAGCAGTCACACGCTTTGACCTCAGGACAGCTCCAAAGTTGCTGGCAGTCAACCTTCCTTTCCTGAACAAATGCCAGTTTGGGTTGGTTTGCTGACCAGTGGTAGCCACCTGAATTGCCCTCTGTTGCTCCTCAGATAATGCCATGCTTGCCACAATTGCCTCAGGTCCCTGATGCCCAACAGATTTGAGAATTTCAGGAACAGTAATGACGCATTTCCACTGCAACGGGGTAGCCCCGTTTAAGCATCCCTAAGCGTCCTCGCTCAGGCCTCGGGCTGCCTCGCTGGCCGTCCGAGGCCGTGGCGCATTTCCATTACAGTTTAGGACCTGGGGTAGCAACGCAGTGTAGGCGGGGCGATCGGCTTCACATTTCGAGTTGTTCCGTCGAGCTCCCGCTGGATTTTATCATCCCCAATGAGATGAAGGAACGTCGTCACCTCCTCGGTCGACCACGGTGTGCTTTTCTTATTAGACGTAGCCATTTTTGTAGCTCCTCCGTTTACAAAATGCTGTTTATAAAAATGCTGCCAGCTTGCTTCTAAATATATATGCGACGCTAGGGATGAACTCGCGCGCGATCTTGTGACGATTCTCTCTGACCTCGAACCGGAGCTGCCTGGACGCTGCAATCATGTTGCGCACTATCCGTGCTGAGTGTGCTGACTTTTCGTACAATGTCCCACTGTCTGGCTTCCTGCATAAAGTCAAGTGCTCGGCGCAGTTGTGGCGAAATGTCGCTCCTCTGTTTTCATTTAAACAGCTCCTTATATCCGTTAGCGCAGCTAGCTAGCACCAGATGCTAACAACAACAATGCACGTAAGGTCTCTCGCTCGCTCGGGCCACACATACACACACCCTCCCGGTAGTCCAGATGGCCAGTCGGTGCCTGCCGGTGAGCGTGGAAGTGTGGTCTGCCACAAGCGGGCGGCAGGAGCGGGGCTGTCAGCATCAGCTTGTAGATGGTACTTTAAACTCGATGCGCTCTGAAACTACGGGGCGGCCAAGGAAAAAAAAATACACATGCGTTAATCGCGTTAAAATAATTAGTGCCGTAAAAAAAAATGTATTATCGGTATAGGTCTTGAGAAGCAGGAAGTTATCGGTATCGGTTTCAAAAAACCAATATCGTGCATCCCTATTTGTAATGCCTTCCCAATTATCCCTTTAATTGTTTATAGCCTACTGTATGTTTATTTCATGGATATTTCTGTGTTTTCTGGTGTGTAATATTTGTAATCTTGGGGCCTCTTCTCTTTAACGTCTACATGCTACCACTGGCTCAGATAATGAAGAACAACAAAATAAGTTACCATAGCTATGCAGATGACACACACATTTACGTAACCATTTCACCAGGAGACTATGCTCCAATTCAAACACTGAGTAAGTGCATTGAACAAATCAACGACTGGATGTGTCAGAACTTTCTCCAATTAAACAAAGACAAAACTGAGGTAATGGTTTTTGGAGCCAAGGCAAAACGTATAAAAGTTAGCGCTGAGCTTCAGTCTGCAATGTTCAAAACAACAAATAAAGCCAGAAATCTAGGTGTAGTCATGGACTCTGACCTGAGTTTCAACAGTCACATTAAAACAGTTACTAAATCAGCCTACTATCACCTAAAGAATATAATCTAAGATTAAAAGACTAATGTCACAGCAGGATTTGGAAAAACGTTCCCATGCTTTTATCTTCAGTAGACTGGACTACTGTAATGGTGTCTTCACAGGTCTCACTAAAAAATCTATTAGGAAGCTGCAGCTGATTCAGAACGCTGCTGCTCGAGTCCTCACTGACACTAAGAAAGTGGATCACATCACTCCAGTTCTGAAGTCTTTACACTGGCTTCCTGTGTGTCAAAGAATAGATTTCAAAATACTGCTGCTGGTTTATAAAGCACTGAATGGTTTAGGCCCAAAATACATTTCTGACCTCCTGCTAAATTATGAACCATCCAGATCTCTCAGGTCTTCAGGGACTGGTCAGCTTTCTGTCCCCAGAGTCAGAACTAAACATGGTAAAGCAGCGTTCAGTTATTATGCTCCAAATATCTGGAACAAACTCCCAGAAACCTGCAGGTCCGCTGCAACTCTGACTACTTTTAATCCAGGCTGAAGACTTTTCTTTTTTGTCGCTGCTTTTAATTGAACTATTCATATCTTAGACTGCACTGTAACTTTTATCCATGTATTTTTTCTTTTAATGTTTATTTTATTAGCTTTTCTTTTTAATGACTAATTTTAAATGCCATTTTCTTAAATGTCTTTCATTTTTTGTAAAGCACTTTGAATTGCCTTGTGTTGAAAAGTGCTATATAAATAAACTTGCCTTGCCTTGCCTAATAAAGATTTCATGTGACACATAAAATGGATTTGTTGATGGAAATTAATGTGAATAAATTAACTCTAGGTTAACGGTACTCTTGCTATCACTATTCACCGACACTCTATAAACCTTGTCCCTCATGCTAGCCCTGACAACACCGGTAAGTACACCTTCATCTAGGCTGCACTGTTTTACGTGTCCTGACTTGTAGTGGTTCTCTCCTCTATCTACACTCTTCTTGTCATCTTTGTAAAACGATATCAGACTGGTAATTGACACAGCCATAACTACTAGTTAAATTCTGTGTGGCTAAAATGAAAAGCTTTGTTAAAATATGCAATCACGCGGAAGTCAAAGTCAGCTTTATTGTAAAAAATTCTACATGTGTTATACATCCAGAAATATCGTTTCCCACAGTGTGACATCCAGAAATATCGTTTCCCACAGTGTGACATGTATACATAAAACAAAACAAAAAGGGCCTAGATAAACGGGGTATACAGTTTAAAATGTTAATATATTTAAAGTGTTCAAAGTGCAGTTTCAGTGCAAGTCAGTTGAAACGATCTTAAGTTGGCGGTGACGTTGAAGTCGTGCGACCCTGCTGCTGTACTGGCTTGTAGTTCGTTTTATAGCATAACGTTAGCATTTAGCTTTGGCGACTAGATTTAGGATTCAAAAATTATAAAAGTAGGGTAGACATGTGGAGATTATCCAGCTGAACAAAACGTGATCCCTCTCTTAAATGTGTGTCAACCACAGACCTTATTTCGAGCTATTTTCCAAATCCTATGGAGAATTGCATTGCATTTTTCACGAAGGAACCGGAAGAAGTTTACTTCCGGGTTTTACGACGCGTCACTGCGGTTCTCTATACAGAAGCTGCAGAGACCCAAGACCAAATTCAGCACCTTATGTAACCGCCCTTTAATGGCTAAAGTCTTAAATAGAGCACATTTAAGAGCATCATTACTCACTGGGCAGAAGTAAGAGTTCTCAGAGATGTAGCGTGCCACCGACTCGTGGCTGGCCGAGGCCGCCATGACCAGCAGCAGCGCGTCCCGGGCCTGCTGTCCGATGGCTCCGTCCCGGTGGATGAAGGGAACGAGGAGGGAAAAGATCAGCAGGTTGGTGGAGCCCTGCTGAGCTGGAGCCGCCCGGAACAACATCTCCAGAACCACAGGCTGCCGGGCCATGGACACACAGATCTGGGGAGGATTCACAGAGTCACAATTATGAACAGTACTTGAGTATATTCCAAAATACAGAACAGGATATGGTTTTAATATGTGCACCAAGTCTAAAAATGTAACATTTCCTTTCCTTCTTCCTTTAACATACATATTGCAGCTAAATTAGCAGGATGAACTTTCTGCAGCACAAACCTCCCTTGTAAGTGCTTTACTGGAATTGACTCAAATTAAAGTCTGACTCAGTTATTCAACTTGTTATCCTTTCTGACTGTCAGGACGAATTAATCATTGTAATGTTAATCGGAAAGTAAAGTTTTGGGTATCTAGTCTATTGAAGATAAGTATATAGCCTCAAGGTGAATGTACCTGGTTGAGCAGCAGCACCAGGCTGTTTTCCAGAGCTAAAGGACAACCTAGTTCTGGGTCAGCACAAGCTCCCAGCAGCCTCAGCAGGGGGTGGTGGACGGCCGTGTGCTGCAGCAGAGGCTGCTGGGACTGTCCGATGAGCATCTCAAACAGCTTGAGCAGCGCCCCCTGGCTGTCTGGGTCCAGGCCGCGGCGGAGGTGCCACTGAACCAGAGACTCTAGAATATTCTCGGTGACCACCAGCTCCAGGATGGGGCCCATGGGTGCCACGTCGGCCACGCCCTCTGGGCTCTCAGCGGGCCGCTCCTCTGCCAGCAGACACAACATCTGGTCAGTGTGATTCCTCACTGCCGTCAGGTCATCGCTGGAGGAGGAAGGCTCCTGCTGCTCCAACACCCACGAGACCTGAGTAAAGGTACAGTGATTTCATGTTTAACTCTTAGCACTGATCTCATTGTTTCAAGAGTTAAAAAGTAACACCAGTGAGCACTAACAGGAACCAGTTCAGAATGACAGCAGGCAAGGTCATTACACTGATTCAATTCATTCATCTGGACATCTCATAGTAGGAAAAGCAAAGGATTCAAATATGACATGATGGCTGATTTCCATTTAGCTTCTTCAATTTCAGTGGCTTTTCCCTCCCACTGTGGCTGTGTCTGAAACCACTTTGTTTACTGTCTGCCATTTCTTTCAGGTGTCATGTTTCTGATGCCACGGCCACACAAGGACGAAAACGGTCGTTTGCGTTACTGTTTAGTGTCATATAGACCGTTCGGCCACACGAGGACGACCGAATACGGCACTAAACGACTGCGGAAACGATAACGGGTTCCAAGGTGGATAGAACGGCATACGCAACGCTCTGGGGGGTCCAACGGCTCCGTGTGTACGCCGTATACGATCATTTTCTGATAATGATGAGGCAATAGCCCCGCCTCTCCCCACCTCTGCTGCTCACCCCCCGCGTCAAAGTAAACTGCACACTGAATTCAGATTATTTATCTTTCTCTCGATATGGACATAAACGCGAGTGAAGTCTAATCTGACAGGACGGAGACACCTCTCAAACTACCTAAAACTAGTTATAAATATGTTATTTTTACTGTCGGCCGGGTCACTTCATTACTGGATCAGCTGCTGCATGAGACAGACACTGGCGCTGTCCAAAGAGAGGGAGGAAAAAGAGAGGCTCCGTGTATTTTATTATTATATTATATAGAGTCGTTATTCATTTGTTTTAAAGCTCAATAAATAACAAAGAAGACCTTTGACCGGCACTTTTATAATTTTGTCAGAAGATTTAAACTTTAATACACGTTGACTGGCGAAAAACTCTGCCCGGTTCCCTCGGCCCCCCACCGCGGAGAATAAACAGAAGGGCAAACCATGACAACCATGCTTCTTCGCTGCTTTTGTGGAGGAAGTTACAGCGCCACGTACAGGCTCGGCCTATGTACTGCAGCTTCTCCAGCGGTTGGAGCTAAACGGAGCTGTCCGTGGGGCAGACACTATCCGGATGACTATTGCGTGTGGACGGAAGCTTTTTTGCGATTGCGTTTGCGTTAATCCTATGCGTTTAGCCGTTTTCGTCCTCGTGTGGCCGGGGCCTGAGTGTGAGATCTATACTGTAGTGCTCTCTAAAATGTCAATAGTGGAAGGACAAAAGTAATGTCTATGAGCGGTTTCGCAACATTTATCAAGTGGTCTACCAGTTAGCGTGACATTGCATTGATGACTTTGCAAGATAGTAGTGGTGCAGATAAGAGATGTGCTTCTTTGTGTTGATATGTCATGAGCAAGAAGCCAGAACTAATGTGTGAATGTTGCACAACACAAATTTGTATTTTTAAATACACATTTATCTCAAAATCCACTTAGGTGTAACTGTACTATAAGATGAATGCCTCTAACCTTTCTTTACAAACTATGAATGCATAAAGGCTTGATAATTTTTTTTTTAAAGGGTGTTCCTGTTTTACTTCAACCCAAAAACTTGCATGACAGTACTAGGAATCATGTAGCGACATGTAGGAGTCGAGATTACTATTACATCTTGTGCTGATGTTGCAATTCATTTGCGACATATGACAGAATACCGTCTGCTTCTTATCTAGTAGATTTATTTAAAGAATAATAATAAGCCTTAAACAAACTTCAGATATGTGATAGTGCCTCTGAGGAAATGCAGGCAGTGGCAAGGCTGTGTAACCCATAAAACACTCAGTCGGTGTTTGGACATAAGCCAGTCACACTGTGTTTGACTGACTGACCGCTCTCATTAGCACTGGCACAGCCAACTGAATGTGTGAACATACACACTTGGTGTCTAAACAGATAATCATTCACTAAAATAAAAAAAGAGCCTTTAAATTCTAACGGGCATTGACTTGCAACCAAAATTGAACATTTATTTGTTGTCTGTGTGCTGCTCAACCAAAAACAAAACCTGAACATATTTGCATCTGAGTCACACTGGATCTAAGGTGTGTGTAACCTGCCTGTGGGGTAAGATGCAAGTTATGACTGGCCCCTTTTAATACCCAGCATTAACATGCGTCTTTTGTAAACGGATCACAAATGTACAGCTCGAAGTAAATGTGTGAATGCCCCCAGATGACACATTAAGATCAGATAGCTTGTCCGCTGATGGATTTGGATAATATTGCAACAGGGGGATTCTTTAGTAACCTTTTATAGTATAGCCGAGATGTCATTACCTCAAAGGTTATATGAAAAAGAACACTATGTTTTTACCGCAACAAAATATGTAATTTCATCAGAATTTAAGAGGAGGGTGTGTCTCCAGCTCACCTGTCTCCAGTGGTTCTCAAACACCATGAGGCAGGTCTCCGGGTCGGCAGTGCATGGACTGGAGGGGGCGGCGCTGCGGCCCGACCGACTCCCAGGACCCCGCGGGTTCAACCTGCTCAGCCAGCTCATACTAGACTCAGTAAGAGTCACAAGAACTATTAAGATGAAACGGAGTTCCAGCAAAGAGAAAATTAAAAAAATTAAAGTCGGACTCTCGTAGCAAGAGAAGGCAGAAAGAAAAAATTGAGGAAAGGAAAAGATGTGGGAAGGAGGAGAGGGATACGGGGGGAGGAAGGGTATCTGAAGAGAGAAGGAGGAAAGGGAGTGCAGACGAGCTGTCACTGCCAGTCAGAGTACGCCGAGGAGAAGCGCTGCTGCTTTAGAATGTCCCTGTCCCCCTGTAGACGCTGTCATCCAGTCTGAAGCCAACACCACTCCATAGCCAGTCAGGACCTTCTCTGGGCTGAGCTAATAAAAACACACAACACAACAGCATGTAAACATATATTCACAAACTTAACCTTCTCTACTCAATAATTAGCAATATATCACACAATGGTCTCAGACAGTCAGACATATAAAAGTGATAGCTAACTAAGTGTAAAATGTACACAATTAAAACAGCCATTGATTCAGAAATCTATCATTAGTGCTGTGTTTTTGTGTGTGTGTGCTTTCCTAAAACAAACACATTAGTCAGCCTCTACAGTATGTTGTTACCAGGGAAACCAGTCGGCCCCTCTCTAGAAAAAGCTACATCCAGTCCATAATGGGCTCATAAAGTAATTGTCTGACCTGTAGTTCATGCAAATGTGACTCATTTGCCTATTATCAAAGTTAGAGACAAGTTAATGATTACAATTATTTATAAAATTGAGATGCTTGCTTTTCGTTGCTTAAAGTTTTACTCAAACAATTGACATGAGTGATTATATCCGACAACCAAAGTATATTCAGTATTTGATCAATGTTGCATAATCGCATGGTAGTAAAGAGAAAAGAGAGCAGTCATGGTGAAGCAACAGGCACGGACAGTTTAAGATCAAACCTCAAAAACCAGTGACACCTTTGCATTTCAGTGATGGCGTTACTTTCGACTATCTGCAATAACCAGATGGCGAGCAATTGTGGAAAACATGCTGTTAAAAATATCTCAAATAATATTCAACTGTTAGAATTGTTAAACATACACAGCTTTTTCCACAGCATAGCTTAAAACACGAATGTGGGCTATCACATTTTAAGAGCTCCTAAAAGTATCTGCCAGAAGTAGTGCATATTAGGGGGATTATTTGAAAAGGACTAAACAGATGTACAGTGGTGAAGCGGATTATGCAAAGATGAAGAGTAGTTTGGATGTTTTGATGCCTTTTTTTGCTGGGACCCAACATCTGAGTCCAACCTTCAAGCAAACACTTCATATATTCTGCATATGCCACAACAGGTTGCAGTTACCAAAGTACTAACTGCAGGAGAAACCTGATTCTCTGGAGAAAATGTAGTTCTAAGGTAATGTCCATTAAGCATGGAATAATATAGCTATTGCTATAAACCTTTTGGCTTTCATCCTCTCAGTATTAGTGCTAGTCAATAATCCATAGGACCACACTAATTGGTCCGGAAAGGTTCAACAGGTTATCGAGTTCAATGCCAGACTGCTATTAAGAAGCATATATAAATAAACCTTTATGTTGATTTATTTTATTATTTAACACCACATGATGTTGACTGAAGTCATGACATGGACTTAGGTCAGATAAAGGTCGGATGGCCCACCTAAATCAATAACGCACCGTGCTTTTCTGTTCTTACATTTCTCATAAAGCCGCCGTTTGATGATCTACACACTGAAGAATGCAGGAGAAATGTAACGTCTTAGCTTCCTTTAATGATTCACAAGCTCTGAACAGGTGAGTCAAAGTTCTCTTTAGTCTTGTTACCCGACGAATACTTTTCTTAGAATAAAATGAAACCATACCAAGACACTCAACCCAGAAAGACTCAAAACTGAAATGTATCTACAGCAAAATTACCTCCTGACAATTCAATCTTTTGTTACACCATGAATGTAATTTACCTTACATGCACGCAGGCCAGTCTTCCTCAGCTTAAACATGCACCACTTTCTAAACCACATGCGGAAATGCTAAGTGTCTTTTATTGTCACGTCACACACAGCATAATAATAAAACCACCTGTAAAATGAGTTCAAAGTTCAACTACAGATTCCACTAAGGGGAGGCTGCCTTCATAAAGACAACAGAGTTTGTCAAAGGTTAGTGATTGAACACAACTCGTCTTGACTTATCTCACACCAAAATGTCTAAAGTCCAAGAAATACTCTGAGACATTCAGATGGACTGAAAGGAGAAGCACGTTTATTTCCAAAGTGTCTCTGACTGACTACTGTTAAAACTGAGAGCCACACCTGCTTTCTGGCGTGAACACATTCAGAGCTCTGAGCTCTCATGAACATTCAGTATTTCACCTTCCTCACATTTCTACTTCTGTCCCTCTTTGTATTTAATGTAGAACATTTAGACACTGATCACATCTGTGTTTGCATTGGTAGGTGCAGTGACTTTTCATAGCAGCTGTTACAACGGATATGAAGACTGTGCTGCAGACACATTTCAGAAAGCACCTTGGCATTCAATATCTTACACTAAACTTGAGTAAATTACTATATCTATCATAACACATGATGTTAAAGTACTTGATAGGAGTATAACTTAAGCGATGTGCCTTTGATCAAGAAACCACACCATTTTTGAAAGCAGAATTGACTTCCAAAGCAAAGTTACAGGAAAAACCATTATCGTCTGATGTAATTCAGGCTATCCCATATTGTATCATAACAAGTCAGCCATCAGTCACTGCGGTGTTTTGGGTCATGTGTCCCCTTCAGTCTGACAGGCTGTTAGCGCACCTAGCTCTCAAACACCAAAAAGGACGACCTTGCATTTCAACCGGTTGTTTAATTAACGTCATCTTAATAGCATTTGTGCTTCAAATCGGATCTTTTAGTCATCACCAAGCGCCAGATCTCACATTATCCAACACAAGCGGCTTACGCTGGGGTCCGCCGAAAAACAACAATCAATGCATTTCAATAGCGAGATGATGTAGCGGGACAGCTACTTGGTACTGATAATTAGCTATGTTAGGAATGTCAACCATGTTTATCTTTAATTAACCGAGCTGAAGTGTCTTTTTAAAAAAGGTGGTAAAATAGTCACTCACCTTTGTTATTTGTAGGACTCTCAACAGTTATTCCTGATTTCCACGGATACCTGCTAGCTGGTTGCTAGTGAGTTAGCGCTGGTTGCTAACGACTAGCTGCTAATGAATTCCACAATGTCAGAGCAGTAAAGGGATGAGCAGCACGCAAGTGACCTGGAGACAACTGGTGAGCTAGAGAATATTGAGCTGGGGAAGCTGACACATTAACCACTCCTTCATTCGGGCTGCTGTGCATCCTGTTAGAGACTGATAAACATCCCATTTGATGATTTCTCAAACACTCTTCCTTTTCCCGCAGCCATCTTACTTTAACTCCTCCCACACGACTTCTCTGACTCACACCCACAGCGACGCTGCTCCTCTGCTGTGTGAAGGTGCTAAAGTGACACAAATAAGCAGTAAACACTGTGACCCATGGGCGTCACTTTGTTAGAAAAAGTGGTGGGGACAATTTCTCCAGATTTAACATCAGCATAGCAGAAGACACAATATGTCCCTCCCCTCCCTTTGATGTTGAACCTCAAGCATCTGCATGAAAAACCAGTGCAGACCTCTGGACCACCAATGTGGTTTATCAATGAACACCCAACTAGACGTGTTGGTGTGATGTAATTTTGAGGGACTTTGTACCTGTATAAACACAACTGGCACAGGTATGGAGGACAGAACATGACATGAGTGCAAACAAATAAAAATGCATAAATACAGGAATACAAAAATACAATAATAATACAATTTTGGAGAAAAAAACCTGAATAAATATATGTGGAAATAAGTACAAGAATACATAAACATAAGAAAAAATAAATAATATGGAAATAAATAAAATGTAAATTGAGAATAAAACAGAACACACACATATTTACGGTATATCTTTAATGTATTTCTAAATGTATTTTCACTTACATTTATATATTTATTAATTTCTGTGTGACTGTTTCATACAATGTTTTTTGCTTGGTATCCTTGTATTCTGTGGATACAACAACATTTATAACGTACTTTCACTTGCTCTGAAAGTCAGAGCCCTCAAGAGCCAGATTATAAATGTTTATTAGCGTCAACAATTGTGTTGCTATTAAAGGTTTTGCTACTACCTTAAAACATGCTGGAGAAGGAAAGGGGTGAGTATTTAGTTGGTCTTCAGCCTATCGCTAGATGCTGCTAAATCCTACACATGCGCTTTAAAGCCTACTCCAATTGAAAAAAAAACTATTTAACTTTCATAGATATGGGGGAGACTGATCCAAACAAGAGTAGCAAAGGTCAAATACTGTAGGCCTACTGTGACTCTGGTCTCAACTGGCTTATCCTTTCAAAAAGAGCTGTATGCTATTTTCCCCTAAGGCAACTCAATTGTGTCTTTTATTAGATCCTGCCTGCTTTATGTAATGCCCACATCTTAATTTCAAAACCGCACACAGGTCAAAAGACCATGTTAAAACAACAGACCAAACCATGGCTAAGGCATCAGATAATACTGGACTCAACCAGGGATAAAACACTGGTAATTACATCCCAAACTGGGGCTAATACATATGATATTGTAGGAGTCTCAAGTTTCAAACCCACGCTGAGCTAACCCTCATGCTAATGCTACAAAACACCATCTGAATCCTTAGGCTCCCAGGTGAATAGTATTACATATAATTGAATGAAGAAATTCTGCAATCAGGCTATTCATTTCACGTTTCCGCTCTTGATGTTCAACTTGTGTAACAAATGTAAATTATTTATACATATTTTGTTTTTCCTTTTTATTTTAATAGTTATTGGAAACATTTTCTTTGGTCAGATCAACCCAAATGAAGAAGACATAATGTGTTGTCTTTTGCAACACACATTGCATGTATATGTTTATTGACAGTGGCACATATAGTTTGCTCTCTATCCTCCAGTTATTGTTTGTTGTCACTCACTGCCTGTACGATGTGCAGAGGAAGACCTCTCTGGTTTTTCTAGGTGAAGAAAGAATTCCCAGAGGACACTTGACATCTGTTGTGATTTTCTTCCATGGAGACCTGCATCACCAGGCAGAGCTCAGGTACACCTGGTTTGTTGTTAGGTGAACCACAGAGTACAACCTGATGCAGAAGGTTGTATGAATTATTGTCCGATATTTTACATTTCTTATGCAGGTCGGGACAAGATCAAATGCAAAGGCCATGTTAAGTTAGAAAAACGTGTTAGTCTACTTTGGAGAATGGATAAAACAGGTGGTGCAAGTATCAGAGGTAACCAGTGGCAGAGACTGCTCAGTTGGAAACGGGGGTAAGAAAGTGACTGAAGATGGAGAAGATGGAGAAAATGGAGTCAAGGACGAAGCAAAACCAAACACCAATCTGGATCAAAAGTTGAAAGTCAAGTAAGTCCTTCATGTATCTATACTCATGGCGTTAATTCAGACTTTATTACTGCTGAGGAGAGAAGACATTAAATAATAAATAAATCTAGCTAATATACCTTAGTAGTGAGCATTTAAATCCACAGTAACAGAATTTCCCCCAACTTTATATTCTTGTTTTTGCATCTTAAATGGTTGATTTCTTTTAAAAATCTGAGATTAAACTACAAGCAGATATTGAGGACCTTACAATGAAGCAGGATAGGCAATATGGACAAAATTGAATATTCTGATAATTATCATATAATTATTTTAATGATGCGTTATTGTATGTACACATACCGAGTCACTTGACGAAAAGGGAAAATCACGTAATATTAAAATAAAATGGAATGATATTTACTGTCATTACACTATACTCAGGGCTTTTTCTCAGTGCAGTTACATGAAGAGGTTAACTACAACAGCTGTAAGCCATTAATGCAGATGTTTTACTACAATATGTGTTACAATTTATGCAAATATATGTTTTTGACTATTTATTCATAGAGAACCATAACCCACAGTCTCTGGGAAAAACCTCCTCATGTCACACCCACATCATCATTACTGATTGCCCTCATTTCCCTCTGTTTCCTCTTCATCATATTTTCCCTCTGTCTTCTCTTCATCATTGTTTCCTTCTGTCTTCTCTTCATCATTATTTCCCTCTCAGGTGGACAGAATTGGTGTTTGATCCAGCAGAAAAGTTTTATTATGTCTGGTTACAGGTCATGATATTTCCCATCATCTATAACTGGGTGATCATCATTTTGAGGTACAAATATGAGTAATCAAGTATCCAAGCTTATAACCTTTTATCCTTGGACATCCATCATCTGTTTGGTTATGTTTTCTCAGGACGTGCTTCACTACAATCGCATTCAACTACCTGCCTGTCTGGATGACACTGGACTATGTGGCAGACCTCATGTATTTGGTTGACATGATAATCACTGTCCACACAGGTACACATTTTTATTGTAGAGAAATTAATTAATGTCTACACATATGTCATATAAAAGCTGTTATATAAAGGAACACAATAAGTATTAATAGAGTAAAAATAATTAGAACAATCAGACCGCAGATAATAGGCATAATTGGAAAATAAGGTACAATAAGTTATGTAATATATTCAAATCTATCTGGTTCAACAGACTACCAGACCTTAGGCAACAATATTCTAAGTAGTCTTGTATTATAAGACTTCTTGATTTTTTTCAAACACACTCCATTTGCTCAAATATATGTCTATACCCAGACAACATTAAACATTGTAAGTGACAACCTACAGTAATTCGACTATATGAATGTTTTCTGGCATTTGATAGACCTTGTTTTTCTTTTTCCAGGTTACTTGGATCAAGGCATCCTGATCAAGGACCTTGCTCACCTGAAGAAGCGTTACCTGCACTCTAAACATTCCTAAGGGACCTGGTTTCCTTGCTTCCCACAGACTTCCTCTACTTTGTCTTTGGCCTCGAAACTCCAATGGTGAGGATCAACCGTCTTGTGCGTATACCACGACTTGATGAGGCGCTGGATCGCATGGAGACAAGAACCTCCTACCCGAACACCTTCCGTATTACCAAGCTGATGATCTACATATTTGTGTTGATCCACTGGAACGCCTGTCTCTACTTTGCACTGTCCAGCTACATCGGCTTCGGAAGTGATCGTTGGGTCTACCCCAACATCACCAAGCCCGAGTTTGCCTCCATGCGCCGTCAGTACTTTTACTGCTTCTGGTTCTCTGCCCAGATTTTCACCACAGTGGGAGACACCCCACTGCCAAAAAGGGAAGAGGAATACTTGTTTATGATTGCAGACCTGCTCATTGCTGTGCTGGTGTTTGCTTCAATTGTTGGAAATGTTGGCAATGTCATCACAAGCCTAAGGGACCGTGATAATGTCTTCTTTCCTAACCATGAGTTGGTAAGTCAAAAGCCTAACCTGACACTAAGCTAGAGGTTATTTCATTTGTTGTATGGAAAATAAGGTTATTTTGTCTGCTTCAGGTGAAGGCTTACCTGCGTAGCCATCACATTAGCAAGGAGCTTCGACAGCGAATCGACAACTGGTACCAAACATCTTCACATCAACAAGAAGATAATGCGAGAGAAGGAAATCCTGGAGCAGCTGCCCTTACATCTGAGAACAGAGATCGCTGTTAGCGTTTCACCTTCCCACGCTCTCCAAAGTCACCATCTTCCAGAGCTGTGAGAAAAGCCTGCTGGAGGAGCTGGTGCTTAAACTAACACCTCAGGTCAGGGGAAATACTAAACAGCTCAACGGCTTTGTCTAGTTTATTATCTAATACATATCCTTTTACAAAATAATTGTTTAGGAATAAAGAAGTTTATCTCTTTTGGTTTTCCAGGTGTTCAGTCCAGGAGAGTATGTCTGCAGGAAAGGAGATGTGGGCCATGAAATGTACATCATCAGAGAGGGGAAACTTGCAGTTGTAGCAGATGACGGGGTCACAGAGTATGCTGTGCTTACTGACTCGAATTTCTTTGGGGAAATTAGTATTCTCAACATCAAAGGTTAGTCCAGTTCTACTACACGGACATTCCTCAATGCACATTTTTGACACAATACAAAGCATTTTCTTGTACTCGGACATATAGACTTTAATTGAGTCAACAGTGCAAAAGGATTACATTTAGTACAAAGGGAAGAGACATCTTTCTGTGGTGATTTGGATCTTGATAATGCTTTTAGCTCTATACACTCCACCAACACTCAGGAATTAAGTACCTGCTGTAAAGATTGGTCCAGACTATAAAAGCTGGTAGGCCGTAGTTGAAGAGAAATGAAAGGAAAGTTCCATCTCTAGATCGTCATAGTCACAGATAATGTGCATAGGAAGATCCTGTAAATGAAGATAATGAAAGGAAATTGCAGTCTGTCTGGAAAGCACTGAATTGTAAAATATGAATACTTAAATATGAATACTATTAACCTTCTCATTGAGGCAGCAATAAGAAGGTTCCCTAATGCCTCTGAAAGACGAGTGACTTTGTAATGATATATCTTTTTTAATATTGCTGAATTTTTACAAAACTTTTGTTTCCTTTTAGGCAACAAGTCTGGCAATCGTCGCACTGCCAACATCCGAAGCATTGGCTACTCTGACCTGTTCAGCTTGTCAAAAGAAGACCTGACCGATGTGCTATCAGAGTTCCCCGCAGCTAAACGTCACCTGGAGGAGAAAGGCAGGCAGATCCTGACAAAGATGGGCATGTTGGTGGACACTGGGGAGGAAAAGGAAGGGGAGGAGGACAACGTTGAAACAAAGATAAACACGTTAGAAAGCAACTTGGAAATCCTGCAGACAAAACTAGCTCGACTTATGATGGAATTAGAGTCGAGCAATCGTAAGATGCAGGCCAGGGTGGAGCAGCTTGAATTGGAAGTTGCAGCATTGGGGAATCAGCCGTTAGAAGATGAGGAAGAAAGAATAAAAAGAGAGTTAAGAGGGGAAGGGGTGGGAGAGGAGGTTGGATGGGAGCGAGAAGAGGCTGAGGGAGAAGAAGAGGAGGGTTTAGATGCAAAGGTTAAAAAACAAGAACAGGGGGAAGATGGTAATGAGTTGACCAAAGACGGAGATGGAGAGAGTACTAAAAGTAGAGAGGGAGATGTGGAAAAGATGGAGGTAGATAAGTCTGGACTGAAGGACCCAGATGATCAGGAAAAGAAAGAAAAAGATGATAGCGAGAAAAACAAAGACAAAGGAGATGACAGACCTGGGAAAGGAGATGGAGCTGAGATTGAACTTGAAGAGGAGAAAGAAGAGAAAAGTGGCGAGGTAGATTCTGAAGAGGGGGGAGAAACGGCTGAGGGAGATTCAGAAAATAAGGACATGAAGCAGAAAGATGAAGGCCAGACAAAAAAAGAATGAAAAAGCAAATCAACCAAACAACAGAATGTTATAAAAACAACCTTAGTGTGTATTATTGTCTGTATATTTGTCTGTTTTATATTAAAAAAACTCAACACTTCATTGACACACATTGTGCAATACACATGGTTACCACTAGATGGCAGCAATGTATTCCCCACAGTAGAGTTGAAGCTACGTGACAGATAGTGTAGCCTTCACAAACATACACCTGAAAACTACTGCTAGGTTTTAAGAAGTCCTTTCAGGTATAGTGGCAGTTACAGGGACTTGTGTTGCTGTATTGGACTTTAAATACATTACTGTTGATGCTTATTTTGTAAAGGGAGTACAAATAATAATCAAACAATGTTTTGTTTGGGATCAACTTAAAGATGAAGGGGAAGTACATTTCTTCCAATGTTTTATGTGGCAGCTAAGTCTTTTTGGGCGGTATATTCATTTATAATTTGGTTCTATCTAAATCACCTGTGTGCTGTAAAACACAGTTAAAATAACTTAATTCATCAACCACAATGAATTATTTCAAAATAAAACATTATTTTGAACATGCCTTCCGTTTAATTTGTGTACATTTCTCTCATCTTATATTATTTATAGTTTATATCATTTAAATGTTTTGTATTTGGCTCAGTGCAATCAGAAATGTTATTATTCTACAATGTAAAGCACTTTATAACTTTCATTTGAAAAGTGCTGTTTAAATAAAGTTGATCATTATTATCATTTACGTTTGATTGAACATTTTACTGATAACACTGAAAAAGAAATGTATGCATAGGCCTACTGTTGAATACTGTCCTTTAATTATACTAACTGTATCCCTACTCGTATAATGGGGTATTGCTTCCAAATGAAAGGATCTATTCTAAGTAGTTCTTCCATTAAAAAAAAATTAAAAACCCACAAATACTAGCTTTCTGTCAACTCCAAGTCCGATGAATAACACCAATGCAATGTGTCAGGTCGGCCCTTTAATGACGCAGAGTTACGCACTTCCCGGAAGTGCAGTGGGGACATAGGCCCCATCGATTCAACACAACTGCATACATAAGCATTTACTAATAATAAAGCTCGGTTTGTATATAATTTTCATGGAGTACCACCGCTAACACATATGGAGTGTCAAGAGGAAAAGCCGATCATCTATACTATGGAAAACAAGCCGATTGTGACATGTGAGTGTTTAGTAGAAGGATACGTCTAATTTGTTCTGCTCTTGACAGTTAGCCAGCTAGCTATATTCAGTAGCTAGTTTTAGCTTAGCTAGCTGGCTCCCTTATATTAACCAGACTCTGTGTGTGCATGGTTTGATGTGTGGCTTATTTTGTCATGGCTGTAATAGTTTCTTACTTTCATACTACACCACTGGTTGTGCTAAATGTCCACACGGGAATCTTTGAGCTAGCTAGTAGCTACATTAATTAACAGGCCTAGCTAACGACATAACGTCACGGCTAGTTGCTGCAGTTTAGGGAAGGATATCAGCTTGTTCCCTAAAGGACAGCCACAGTTTCCTCCGTTGGCAGCTCAGACTGTAGTCGCAACATCGTGTTGGCCCGGTGGGGTCAGTTTGCCATTCATAAATCCCTTGGAATCTTATGTAAGCTCCTTGAAGGGGTTATTTTAGGAGTCCGCTCTGGTAGTGGGTGCCAGCTTCTTCTCACACCGCAGGCTGCTCCATTTTTAGGACAGGAGCAGACCGAGGCACTGGGGATTATGAAGTTCTACACTATTCATCCAGTGTTATTTTTGTGAGACGAATCAAAATCTAAGGTACAGGTTGCCCCAAGCGAGGAACAGCTGAGCAGATAGCAGGTGTCCTGACTCAGGTGTATGTGCCTCTGAAATCACAGTTATATTTGCACTTTGATGATAATACAGTCAACATGTATAACAAGTAAACCCTATATACCCTAATTTGTATAAAGAACAAACACGTTTTATACAACTCTTATTTCCAAAGACTCAATAACCATGGAGTGCAATGTTTTAGAATTACAGTCAATTTCTCTAATTTCTTCATTATCTAGGTTAAGCATAAAAACAACAGGACACGTTAACATGTATGATAACATTGCTATGTTTTGGAGGGAATCTATTCCCTTTCAATGTAATGCCATACAGAAATAATAATACAAGAGTGTTCTGTTTTTCAAACAGTGGCTTGTTTCTGAGAGTCCAGTGTATTTATTGAAACGAATCTAATACTGATAATTACAGCATAGACACAGTTTAGGTCTGAGGCAGAAAAGGGCAAGTGAGAGAATAAGTAAGACATGTATTATGTTCTTATCAATCATTGATGATTATCATGATTTAAATCACCTGCAGACTATATGCTACCGTACATGTACAGTTGACTTAAGTGTGTCACTCCGAAGAAGTGTGAACTCGCCATTCTTTTTTAGAATTTCTCAAAACATTGATTTATGAATAAAACCTTGTAATAAGTCTCCAGCAAAATGAGCAGTGTTTCACTTTCTCTACTACTTGACGCTGTGTGTGAATGACTCACACGGTCAAAGGGATTATACTGGTGTTTGCTTTGCATGTGATAAGTTTGTGATAGCTGTTGTGGACATTCAAAGTTCAGTTTGTTTGGACCATACCGGTGCTGTATTACTGTGGAAAGATCACAAGTAACTCAACTAATCCATGCTGACATTACATTGTTACACTGCAGCTATGAACTATAAGAGTAACCAGTTTATGTTGTGTTATGTGTCGATTGTTCATGCAAATGTCTCTCTTTGCATACAAAACATCATACGCCCACCACACAGCAACCCTGCACATCCAGTGATGTCATGTATCTCTCCAGTTGATAAACAGTGAGCAGCAAGGGCAAGGCGAATTCATTAACAATGCAGGCAAATTGTCAGCACAAGGTTATGTGTTGGCTCCAATCCAGCACACTGGATTAAAATAGAACCGACTACGAGTTGTGCTGAAGTGCTGAAGTTTGTATTGCAGGATATTTGAAGGTGTTTACAATAACACTGGATGAATAGTGTAGAACTAGTAGTCCTTTTTTTCCCCTTGGGGCTAACCTATTTATAAAAATGGCTTTTCACGTGGTTCATTGGACGTGGCCCAGTTCCAGTGTAGCCTGACCAATTACCTCAGCCCTCCAGAACGCACACAGCTAGCGTGAATGGCAGTTTTGTTAATGAGCTTTTGAGAAATGGGGCATTGGTGGAGACATTAAAGTGAATTTATTGTTGAGCTAGGCTGAGTATTGTACCATTAGTGAGGGGTTGGTCCACCGGATCCTCACTGCTTCGGTGCCAACATGTTAGAGAAGACTCTCAAACAGCTGAGGTACTGCAATGTAAAGCTCTTCAAACTAAAGCTGATCATCAAGCACCTTATTCTCATATTCATATAATACCTTTTAAATGCAATGTGATGACAAAACTGTTGCATTACTTAGGAGATGTTCTCAATTTTGAGAAATATACGATGATATGATGAGCAGATTGGTACTTAATGCAGTGGGGAGGTGTGAGCTGCAGCTATGGTGGCACACACCTAATATTTGTCTTTCCAATAGGAATAGCTGATGCCGTATTTGTTGTTTTGATACTTCCAGAGGCTTCTATGCCAGATAGACTCAGACTCTGTGCACTACTATGAAGCCGACATGGTGCTGAAACATGGTCTAAGGATAGGCCTAGACTAGAGGGTGTTGCATGCTAGGAAGATTGTAAAAGCCTCAGGGACAACGGACATAAACTTGATGGTTTTTAAACAGCTGTGCAGAAATTATGTTTGTCAGTTCATTCAAATATTTTCAACATGAAGCTCCTTAAAGCATAAACAATCATTTCCAAGTAGGAAATGTGCCTGTTCTTCAGCAGGAAAGACTGAAATATGTGATTAATTAACCAGTTACACAGTTAAAAATGTGTATCATCGATATGGCTGTACTTGGCTAAACACGAAGAACCGGTTAGTTAATGAAAATCTGTGAACTGTGTCGACTTATAATTTTTTTTTGGCTAATTGAATTTTGGTTTTTAAATGCTCTTCCCCTTTTCATCACAGGTGCTGGAGACCAGGGCTTGTTTACGTCGCTCTATACCTCATTGGCCCAACAACTTCCGAGGGAGCCAATGGAATGGAGGAGGTGAGGTTTGCCCTGCCGAGTGATGGGAAAACTTAGTATTGCATATCTTTGTAAAGCTTTTTATTTTTAATTTCCACACATTCAATTTTGGAGCACGTAGTTGTTGGAACGTAACGTTTTTATCCACTCCGATATTGTCACAGGTCATTTTTTTGGTAAAGGTTTTCCAACATGTTACGTCATTACACCATGCTTTTTAAATGTCCTACACTACCACAATAATAACAACATATGCACAAACCATTCACAGTGAAAGACAATAAGGGTGTATAAAGCGTTCTGTGGTTTTGAAGAGCAGTGAATGGGCACAAGCCCTTTAAAGGTGGGGTAGGTCATTTTGGAGAAACCAGCTCGAGTGCGCTAGAATTTGAAAATACACAGCCGGAAAAAATCTGCCACTTCCTTACAGAGCCCCTCCTCCAACACACACGAACGCGCACATGACCAATGAGGGCACGAGATAAGTTTGTGCACAGATGGAAGGCTGTTTTTGCAAGAACAAACCAGTCTCAAATCAAGGCCTTGTTCTCTCTCCAGGGAAAGGATTCGATAACATTAATAGGGCTGCAACAAACGACTAATTTGATAATCGATTAATCTATCGATTAATGAAACGATTAATCGACTATTCGGACTATTACTGTATGCCTTGCACAATTTCTCAAACGCTCTTATTTAGCCATCAACTTTTAGATGTAGCTTGAGGTTGTTTTAGGCATGTGGAAACTAACAATGAAGACAATAAAGATGAATACTTGATTCAAAAATACATATATTATTAAATTAACTAAACACATTTTGAACAAAATTAACATAGCTTTTAATTTAAATTAAATAAATAATATTTCACATCAAAAGAAACAACAGT